ACTGACAGACATGGGAAGGCAGTGGAGACAGCAGTGTAGTGTTGCAGTGACTGATACCCCAGCTGCATTCAGCAGGCGGTGATCTGAACTACACCAACAACTGGAATCCAGCAGCAATAAGGTAGGAAGCGACATTCACTGGGAACTCAGGAGGTGAACCCAGACAAAGAACTGCTCATCCTGCTGGTCTGTTTGATTTGACCAGGGGCAGAGACAGAGCAGCAGGTCCCAGATGGGTGGTATGGGAACAGGGTGGATTTCACAGCCCAACCACCCCTAGAGCTAAATCAGGTGCCATTTTATCCAGAGAGGCAAAGATTATGGGATAGGACAGTGCATGCACTGAGCTGGGAATGAGCTCATCTCTGGCTCAGTGACCTGCAACAATGTGGCATCCTACACGTTCCACCCAAGATAGGTCCAGGTAGCCCTCAGACCTGACTGTCAGCAGATCAAGAAGTCTAGTAGTGGCATTTCAGGCAGCATTTTGTATCGTGTAGCAAAGGCTTAAAGACTACAGGGACAACATTGAATTGCACATGGGCTGAACTGGGAGCAAACTTACTGAGCTCAATGCGTTGCACTGGTCCCATATTGAAAATAATACTGATTTTGGCATGATACAGGTCAGGATAGATCCATGTAGCTCTCAGACCTAACAGCCAACAGGTTTTGGCAAGATCAATATCACCAACAATCTAGCTATATAGGACACCTGGTATCTCCCTAATTCTAGGAATTGCTGGAAATAGAATGGGAGAAAGTTTGTACAGACAATGGTGTAGCCTCAGCATGGGATCACAGGGGGTGGAGACTGGTGAGCCAGGAGCTGGGGCTATGGAGACCATGGTGTAAGCCTAACTTAAGAACCCACACCTGGGTCCGAGGTTAGCAGCTAAAGTCCTCGCGTTGAATACACCAGGATCCCATATGGGTGCTGTTTTTAACCCCAGTGGCCCCACTTCCCATCCAGCTTCTTGCTTGTGGCCTGGGAAAACAGTCGAGGACAGCCCAAAGCTTTGGGACCCTGCACCAGCCTGGGGGACTCAGAAGAAGCTCTTGGCTCGTGGCTTCGGATCGGCTCAGCTCCAACTGTTACAGTCACTTGGGGGAGTGAATCATCAGATGGAGGATCTTCCTCTCTCTCTTCCTCTTTGTATATCTGGCTTTCCAATAAAAATAAATAAATCTTAAAAAAAAAAAAAGCCCAGACCTGTAACACGCTGGAGGGAGTGGCACAATTGACTGTAAACAAAGAGCTGTGTACCAACTACAAGAAGTAAAATTGGACTGTAGACCTGTGGGTGACACAGCTTAGAAACCTGCCTCCAGAGAGAGAATGTGCTAACCAGAAGTACAATGACCAAGAGCAAAAGAAGAGACAAAGGGACAATGAGTATTACTGAAGACTCTCCTGCAAAGGAACAAAAGCCGTTGCCAACCTCACAGTTCACTAAGTAATATATCGAGAAAATGGGGGATACAGAATTCAAAACACTTCTTATAAAACTTCTTAAGAACAAGAAGCACATAAAACAGGCATGCAAGAAATGTAAGGAACATGTCATGCAGAAAATGAATCAAGTGAAAGCTGATATATCAGAAATGGAGTAAAAAAGTAAAAGTACAGTGGAAAAAGTAAAATTACGGTGGAATGTGTCCAAAATAAAATGAAGGAGGCAGAAGAAAGAATCTCACAATTAGAAGATATTTCCTGTCACCAGGGGAAACAAACAAAAAGCTGAAAGCAGAGCTGGATTAAGCTAAAAAACAGTATTCAAGAATTAAAAGGCACTGTTAAAAGACCAAAAAGACAAAAAGAGTTATGGGAGTCCTGGAAGATGCAGAAAGAGACACTGGGTTAACAAATGTATTTAATGAAATAATAAGGGAAAATTTCCCTAATCTAGAGAAAGAATTGGGAAATAACATCCAAGAGGGGCACAAAACTCCCAACAGGGTTGACCAAAACTGATCTTCACCATGACACATGATAAGCAAGCTCTCTTAAAAAAAATAAGGAAAAGATCCTAAATGTGCATGTGAAAAAAGTCAACTGACATATAAAGGAATGTCAATTAAATTCACAGAAGATCTCTCACAGGAAACTCTATAGGCCAGAGGAGAATGGAGCAATGTGTTCCAGATTCTAAAAGCCAAAAATTGTCTGCCCAGGATAACGTGCCCAGTAAAGCTTTTCTTTGTCTTTGAAAATGAGATACAATTCTTCCACAGTAAAGAAAAGCTAAAAGAATATGCCTCTTGAAACCTGCCCTACAAAGGATACTTACAGATGTTTTCTTGACAAAGAGGAATAGTGCCCACCAAGACCAACGGCAAATGTGGAGAACATCCCATAAAATAATAGAAGACTAAATCAATGAACAACCCATTGCTAAAATGACAGGACCAAATTACCACCCATTCATATAAACCCTGAATGCAAATAGCTTAAATGCATCAATCAAGCATCATAAATTAGACTGGTATAAAAAAAAAAAACAAAACCCGTGTATTTGTTGGCTACAGGAGACACATCTCACCAACAAAGATCAGCGGGAACTGTATCTCAAGGATTTTTACTTTTTTAAATTAATTTCATCTCTTCAAAACACTTTCTTCCTCATTATTCTTCACTGACTCATAGATCATACAGTAGCATCATTTTCAAGAAGGTTCTTGAATTTATTCTTCATTTCTTCAGTGACACATTAGTCATTCAGTAGCATGTTATTTAACTTTATGATGTTTTTAATTCCTGTTTTTCTTCCTGTTGTTGATTTTGTTTTGTGGCTTTTCATTTAAGAGAATGTATAGTAACTATGTAATGGAGACTATCATATCCAAATGTGAGGATACAATGCAGTATGCATCTCTACTTCCAGATCCGAGATGGACTCCCAATGAAGGTGTTAACTATATGCTGGAGAATCTGCCATTGTCCATGGCTGCAATGATGGACATATGAATGTTTATGACGAACTCTACTATAGTAATAATATATAAGAACTCAGTGGGGGGAGGGGCTCATGGGAAAGGATAGGGAAATCCCAGGGCCTATGGAACTGTGTAATAAAATGATAATGATAATAATAAGTAAAAAATTTTAAATAAAGATATGTATGTATTTGAGAGTGTGTGTGTGTTTGTGTGTGTGTGTGTGTGTGTTGGGGAGAGTCTTTGTGTGCCAAGACAGAGGAGGAATGCTGAAGTAGCTTGTGCTCAGCTCCCACTCTGGGTTTTTTCTTACTCCTAATATGAGCCATTGCTGTCCAAACCTGCCTCCTTTGGCAAGGTCTTCACTGTCTATTGCAGACAATCGAGTATAGTCCTCCTCTGTCTCTGCCAGGTGAGTTGAAGTGGCAGGTTTGAAATGGAGGTGAAACCACTTAGGCCATTTGCTGACTCTACATCACTGGGTGTTTGGGATCAAAGGAGGGTGAGGCTCATCAATCCTACAGAGGTGGTGTTGTCTATTTATCCGTCCAAATACAGTAGATTTACTGGGGTTTTCAGGTATCTGTAGAAACAATCAACTATAACATCTTTTTAGGGGCAGGTTGAGATGATTCACAGGAACCTCAAAAAATTAATAGAATATGCAATTAAAAGTAAAATTTATTTTTGTGTGGCAATTTTTTGAAATCCACGCATATATTTTTCATAATATGCTGCTCCATGAACTCTGTGGAGACTCTTCATATATATTCCCACTTCTCTTTCTGAGATTTTTATAGATTAATCCACATGTTAGCATCAGTCATCTTGTTAAAACTGCATTATCTCCTTTTTTACAAGAAAGTGATGTTAGATCACAGGCCTCAGGTGATAAGAGAGAGTTCATTAATATCAGGTGAATTAAACACAGTGGAGGGAGATCCTTGGGAAGAGCAAAAGCAAAGGGCAGAGGAGGGTGTTGTCAAAAGGACCCTTTGGATGGATTTTATATCCCTCTAAATACAGCAGGAAGCATTTCTTCAGACTGTCTCCTACCTGAGCAAGGTATGCATCTGCCCAAAATCATTGGTTTAAGGTTGGGAGGGGTTGTGGCTCCTGGCAAAAGGTTTAGGGGTTATTCATTCTCTCCTTCATCTTTTGGCCTGGCATGCTGGTGAGAAGTAAGGCCCAGTGGGCATACCTGGTTCGTGACCGGTTGTCTAAAGTTAATTTCACGGGCCCGGCGCGGTGGCGCAAGAGGTTAAGGTCCTCGCCTTGCACACCCGGGATCCCATATGGGCGCCTGTTCTATCCCGGCAGCCCCGCTTCCCTTGCAGCTCCCTGCCTGTGGCCCGGGAAGGCAGTCAAGGACAGCCCAAAGCTTTGGGACCCTGAACCCGCATGGGAGACCCGGAAGAGGCTCCTGGCTTCGGATCGGCATAGTATCGGGCTGTTGCGCTCACTTGGGGAGTGAATCATCGGACAGAAGATCTTCCTCTCTGTCTGTCTGTATATCCGCCTTTCCAATAAAAAAATAAATAAATAATAAAGTTAATTTCACCTTGCCAGACACATGTTTCCCTGGTGAACTGAGACCAGACACTAAACTGGGAATACACCTTCCTTTCCAAGATGAATGAGTTTGCATTGTAGAGTTCTGGCACTCCTGCAGGAAATGGTTCATCAGCTTCCTGCTTGCAAGAACTGTGCCAGTACTTTCTTTGTTTCTTGACTTGAAAATAACCATTCCTGACCCATGTAATGAATTTGTGGGCCCAGAGGAAGCTATTTTCCCAATTTCCTAACCATATCCTTCTCATGCAATCCATAACACTGGAGCCATTGCCAAGAGACCTTTTTTGCATGCTGCTTACAGGCCTCACTTGCTGGCTCTGTCCTCCCCCTTGCCCAGAGTCTTCACTCAGCCTTGAGCCAGGCTGCCAATATTTCTGCCTACCTTTGAAAAATCAAGAGATAGCTTTGAAGAAAATCTATTGTCATTGAGTCCAGGACAAAGCTAGGATGTGTCAGGAAGGTAAACCATTGGTGCCACTGTTTTGCAGATTGAATCCATTTACTACTTCGTGGTGGGGGATGTTCCTGAGAAATCCAAGGAGCTTCTCCTGCAGAGAGTTTTGGAGATTTCGTATCCAGTCTACACAGTGTCCTTCAATGCCAGAGGAGGAGGCACTATGGCTTTCCTAAAGGATCTGAGTGCCAAGACACACAGCAGGTAGGCAGAAAATGCAGTCTTGAGTGACAGAAAGGGAGATGTATGCTTAGATAAGATCCACAGTGGGACTTGGATTCTTTGGGTTCTTCTCAACCGATCTGCTTCTTTGTTCTCCCTCTCCTTTCCAGTATAGTTTTTCATCTCCAGGTGTTTCTCTGTCCTGTGTCAGTCATGCCTTTTTCTTTTTGGTATTACTGATTCTTTCCCATCTTGGGGTCTTGTTGACCGCAGAAGGAACTGCTCCTCCCAGAGCTAGCCAGGTTCTAGAAATGGCAAATGTCCTGGTTCAGGGTATGGCTTTCAGCCAGTTTGAGTCCGAGTCCACTCGCTCTTTCCAGGCTGCTACAGTTTTGGCCATTTTCCTTTGCTCTAGCAGGAAAACTCTAGACAGCCCCCTGAGACTATTCAAATTACTCGATTGTATCTATGTTTTCTGTCTCCCCTGTTGCTCCCATTGAAATCACAAGTAAAAGCTGTCTCATCGCTGCCTCCCAACTGTGGGGGCCACTGCCCTGGTGCCTGCCTGTTTGTTCCCCTCTGGGTGCCCCTGCATTCAGAACCAATTCATCTGCTTGGGCTGCTGTAACAAAATACTACAAGCTGGAAATGAGGTACAGAAATGGAAATATATTTCTCACACTTGTAGAGACTGAGAAGTCCAAGGTTAAGGCCAGTTGGTGAAGGCTCTCTCTGTGCTGCCTTCTTCCCATGTCCTCATATGTTGTCAAGAGAAAGATGGCGGAGAGAGAGCATGAGAATGAGCGCCTAGGTATATTGTCTTGTAAAATTACTAATTCTGTGGATTAGGCTCTCCTGTTACAGTCTCATTTAGCCCATACTGCTGTTTCCATTTAGGCCCTATCCCTATATATAGTCATACTGGGAATCGGGGCTCCCACATAGGAATTTTAGTAGGAGACATAATTCGGTACATGGCAGTGCTGATTCATAAACTCTCTTTTCAATAGCAAGGTCCTCTGATCCTTTGGTTTCCCCATACCTGAATCATGATGAGATCTGTACTTGAAAATGAACACTACTCCCTTAGCTTGTGTTTGTGAATGCCTCGGTCCTAGCTAGGGGGAAGGAAGCCAGCTGCTTCTGTGGTTATCTGGAAAATTGCTGAGCCTCTTCCCAAGTTGGTCTGTTTGGGGACAATGTTACTGCTCAGGGCACTTGTTCTCCAATGTGGGGACTCACTCATTGTAGTGGTCCCAAGCAGCTTGTTCAAGGGCAGCAGCCTGGGCTTCGTCTTGGCAGGGTGTTGATTACACATAATAAGGGGAGCCCTGGAATAGGCATTTTAGTTAGTCTGCATAACTGCCAAGGGAGCTTGGCTGAAAGGCAGATTCCATGGTCAAAGTGTGAGGGGGTCCAGGAATCTTCACATCTAACCTTTGGCAATTCTGAAGACCACTGCTCTGGCCACTCTGAGAGCTCTTTGAGATTTTCTTCCTATCATGTACTTGGTTTCAATTCTTGGTTCCTTACTCCTGTAAAAAAGGCACAAAGGGACTCCCTGTCCTACCTTTGCTAGTGCAGAGAGAAAAAGGTAGCTGGAAGGACCACTTCTCTTGCTTTTTTTCTGCCCAGCTCTGACTAGAAGAGTAATGAGCTGCAAGCCAAGCTGCAGACTGTTAGGCTGTTCACTGCCTGGAGGTGAGTTTTGCAGAAAGGGAGGAGGCACAGGCATGCTCCTCTTATGAATGCTGTGAGCCCTTCCAAGCCAGCTCAGGCCACACCCACAGGTGGTCCCACCTGCTCTCCTCCCTGACCAGAAGCCCCATGGCTTATGGTTGATCTCCTGGCTTTGGGCTCTAACTGGAGAGCAGTTACTGGCAGGTCCAGGAAATTCCATCATGGGGGAGGCTGCCTCAGCCTAATGGCCTTCAAGCTGGACTCTGGCTGCTTCTGTGCATGAGGCTGTATGTGATGAAACCACCCAACTAGGCACAGTGCTGCATTCCACAGACTCCAGAGAGCCAATCCCAATAGCCATTTGCTGTGCATCCAGCAAAACTATATTAACCAGAGGAAACTTCTAGTCTGTTCTCCTTTCTAATTTGGCAAACAAGTCACATACTGAAAAGCACCAAAAACCTTGGCACCTAAGATGTGAGGGCTGACAAGACAAATCTCATGCATCTGCCTTCCTTATATGGCAAGAAGATAACTGCTTTTTGCCCTGGATGAGGCTCTTACAAGAGGCAGGCATGGTTTGACAGAATCTGTAGGCCTCAGGTGGGGCCATTGTAACTGACTTGTTCATAGGCATCAAGTTCTCCCACTGTCACCTGAAATTCTTTAGAAGTAGGGCTGAGGCTTCCTATGGCCCAAGTGAGTTCCCTAAGCCATTTGTTCATTTTTCTCTTCACCGTAAGCTGGGTTGCAGGATTCTCTTAGTCAGTAAGAGGCAACAGGCATAGGTGGAATTCCTCAGTTTTTCTCAAGGGAATCTGAAAGAAGTGCCATGCTACTGTTGTCTTTCTGGATTCTTCAAGGGTGCAGCTCCCCCCCCTTCCCCCGCCCCTGTCCGTGCATCCTGCTGGCACTTAGCAGGCTTTACTGGACACATCTTGTTGAGATGCATAGCCTGACTCTCCAGATTCAGGTGGAGAGCTTCAAAATGTGCATTTGTAGCAGCTCCCACACCACGGTAGGAGGAGACAGGCCCCTGAAACTTGCCCACACAGGAGTTCTTTTCATTAGTGCTTAAGCTTGGATCCTCAGGATATTGTTTGCTCAGTTAAAGTTGACTGAAGCCGGTCAGCACGAGGCAAATTATCCGATGCTGCTGGTCTCACCAGCTGTCAGCACTGAGCCCACAGAGCTGATGGGTGCTTTGGGGGAACTCTTATCATAACTCCTGGCTTGTCAACACTGTGTTGGTATGATGGTATTTTGGGAACAAAAGAAATCACAGAAGCATGGAAACACAGGATTAAGAACTACCGTTTGGTCGAGTTAATTACACTCTAATGAAAAGACACATCATCAGTTAAAATCCCAGACCACTTTGTATTATTTTGCCTCTCTTTTGCTTATGGGAATTTACGAGGCACAATTTATGAGGGAAAAGGAGTGAACACAACTAAGGTTAAAATGCATGTTCACAACAGTCAAGATGGTAACCAACCAGGAAACCCATCGCTGGATGAATGGACAAATAGAATGTGGTAAATGTGCACAGTGGAATATTTATCAGCCATTAAAATGGGGAAACATTTCTGTCATTTTTGCAGAAGCTTGAATGGAACTGGAGGACCTTGTGTTATGTGAAATAAGTTAAGCACAGAAAGGCAAATATGATATAATGTTGATCTCACAGAAGCAGAATTGGAATAGTAGTCATCAGTGCCTAGGATGTAGGGGTAGGGCAGCGCCTGGGTGTAGGGCAAGACGATGGATTAGAGGAATAATGTTCAGTAGCATAGTAGGACAACTCTGGATGACAGCAGTCAGTTGTACATTTCAAATAGCGGAGAGGATTTTGAATGTTTCCAACACAATGAAATGATAAATGTTGAAGATGATGTGTATATGCCAGGAATTTTGATCTAGTTATTATATACCATATCCATGTATTATTAAAGGTCACACTGGACCCCATAAATAAATACAATTGTATTGATTACATTTTTGAGTGCTTGGCCTCACAGAAGAACTAGTTCTCCATCCTAGGAGAATTAACAGACATGTGCAGATCCCTCTGCACCAGCCTAATGTTGAAACCCCTTTCACATTTTAGGTTCCATGCATTCGCCGAGCGTTCAGAGTGTACAGACTTCCCTACGCTTCCCCCACAGGATGGTGACAGTGAGATCGCTTGCAATTCGAGGAAACTAAAAGGAAAGCTCCCTCCAGGTACCTGGAATTCAAAATAAGCCATATATATATCATATATAAAAAAATATAATAGAAGATATATACATATAATATAGAGGATATATATATGCATATATGTATAATACCTACGTATAATCACTTAAATGATCATATAATTAGAGTTGATCTAGGTATTAGGGGTGGGCATTTGGCTTGGCAGTTAAGATACCATTGGGGCACCCATATCCCATATTTGACTGCCTGGGCCAAGTTCTGATGCCGCTCCTGATTCCAGTTTCCTTCTCATACGTATCTTGGAAGGTAACCAGTGACAGCCCAAGTACTTGGATTCCCTGTATTCCATGTGAGACCTGGATTGCGTCTGGCTCATTCTAACTTCAGCTCAACCTAATCCCAGTCAATGTAGGTGGTTGACTGGCAATTCCCCCTGCTCAGATCACTCCCCTACCCTGCTCTGATGCATCTCTAATAATTTTTTCTAAAATTGTTTTTAAAGAAATAAAGGGTTAAATAGGCACTACCCAGGTCTTCGTTATTAGTGTAGTACAAGGGCAGAGTTGATGGATGTTAATGGTGAATTTGTCAGTTTAGCAACCAGACATAAGCTCAGGGAAGTGGCTTATTAAGTTGGAATTCTCCTGGAGACATGGGCCCAAGTGTGGCAGTATCTGAGTGAGTTCTTGGCATTGCAGAGCAGCTCTGCTGCCTGAGTTAGCTGGGTGGCTGCGGTGAGGGTGCCTGTAATTCTTAGGACATAGGGTGGGGAGGGTTCTCGGCTGTGCTTCCTGTGATGAAAGCAGTACTTGTAGATTGACCTTCCCCCTTGTGAGGGCCAAGGCCAGAAAGCAACCTTTGTGTTGGCTGAATCAACTTTCCCTTTTATTCAGGGACTATGGTCAGAGACCACTTGATAGAGCACAGAAAATGAGGTCACAAAGTGAACAAGAAATAAGGCTGAGTCAGGAAAATGGCCAAAGTTTACTCAGAAAGCCTGGAGATGCAAGTTTGTTTGGAGCTGATAAAATTGCCAAGTGCCAGAGACCCTGAATCAACACTACCACAAAAAGGAAGGGAGGAAGGTGGCTGCTGTCTGATGATGTGGCACAGTAGACAGGCAGAAAGAACCCTGAGAAAGTCCACCTTGTCTCCACCCACCTGGTCATTTGTTGTGAGAGTTCTAGCTTCGCTGTCAGGCAGGGACTAGTCTTGGAGTGTAGGGAAGCTGCAGCATACGGATGCTTGAAAGATTCTTCTGCCAACACAGTATAGTTGCAGAGGTTCCCTGGAGAAGCTCACTGGAACTGAAAGCAGGAGGCAGTTGCATTACCAGGCCAGGTTGTCAGTTGAAGAGAAAGACAAGGGTTCAGGTTATGAAGTCCATTGCTGATGTGCACTTTGTGGATGTAAGGTCAGTGATGCCCCAAAGCAGAGCATGGGAGAGGTTCCTGTACATGACTAGGATACAACTTTATGCAATTGGGGAAAAAATGCCAATTGATAAGATTTCTGTTAATCTAAGAAGAATGCAGGGTATAACCCATGCTTATTGAAAGTATTTTGTAAGATTAAATTTAGTGGACAATGATTTAATCAAGGTAAAGAGGGTAGGTGTCAGCAGCACTCCACGTCCCCCCGTCTCCCGCCCCGCCCCAGGGAGCCAGTCACTGTAAATGAGGTTTAATTTTGATCTGTGTATTCTGTAGCACCTTAGTCTGCTTTCTGATCCTATCATGGAATACCTGAGACTGAGTAATTCATATAGAACATAGATTCATTTGGCTCACAACTCTAAAAGCTGGCAAGTACAAGAACATGGCCCTGGCATCTGGTGGGGACCTTCATGCCATGTCATGCCATGGCAGAGAATAGAAGGGTAAGAGAGGGTAGAAGTGAGGGAGCAAGAAAGGAGCAACCTCACTTTGATAACAAATTAAACAAGTACCCTTCTGTGCTAAGCAAGCCACTCCTGTGATGCTGGCATTAATACATTGGGGCCTTGTGATCAGATCACTTCTTGCAGGCCTCACTTGGCAGCATCGATGCACTGGGGACTAACTTCCCACTGTATGAACTTCGGGGGCATCTGGCAGTTGAGTTCATAAAGAAAAGCATACCTGGCTGCAGAAGTCACACTTCCTCCAACCTATCACCTTCTCCATCCCGTGAAGCATACAGATTAAATTACAAAGAAAAGCATTTTTCTTAGAGTTGAAGTGTTCAGCAGGACTTGCCATTCTAAATCCATTACATGATCACATGATTTGAATTTGAGGGGAGAGTCTCAAATGCTAACGATGCAATCATCTCTCCTCCATCCATCACAATGTCCCAGAAATGCCAGCGTATAAAGGCTACCCCTCTCACTGCAAAGCTGTCCTGATGTCTCTGGGGCAGACTCTTGTGGTTTGGAAAGTATGTGGTTTTCAACCTCATCTGGCCTCAGTTTTTTGTTCCATTTTTCTGATCCATTCGTCTCCCCCCATTATCTTATTAACTGTTTCAAGCTTCACTCTGGTTCGGTTCCTCCTTAGGAGATAATTTTGCCTCCTATTGTATATAAAATAAAAGCTATCATGTGAGAGGCTGGAGAAGCATTTCTCAGAAGATTCACCTGGAAATTTGAAAGGAATTTCCTGTTGTTATTGACTTTTCTGGATTCAAAAGACGAGCTTACCATTACCCCATGCTATGCACCAGTACAAAAATTACTCTGTCATCATGATAAAGAATATTTATAAAAATTATAGCAAGATATACATAACATGATATGTATCATCTAGCCCACTTAAAAAATTATTCAAAAGGGAGTTTGCATCTGCTGACTTGTTGCCCCAAAGCCTGCAATGGTCAAGACTGGGCTAGGGAACCAACTTACTTGAGCCATCCCTTTTGCCTTCCTGGTACCCAGGGTCTGTGTTGATGGGAAGCTGGAGTCAGGGACCCGTAACAGGAATTGAAATTCGTCATTTCAACATGGGATGTGACATCTTAATGCTACCTGAACTTCCTGCTCCTTCTTAAAACCACTTTTAAGTGTGTATATCAGTATTGCTATCTGGTTGTGCAATTACCACTCACATCTCTAAAAAACTTTTTATCTTCTCAAATTAAAATTCTATGCCGATTAGGCAATAACTTTCCTGAGATCAGGTGATTTGTAAGGAATAGGAATTTGTTTCTCACAGTGTGGGAGGCAGGGAAGTCCTAGATTCTGGTGAGTGCATACTGTCTGCTTCCAAGTTGGGGTCTGGTTTGCTGCAGTCACTGGAGGGGATGGATGCTTGTGTCCTCTTGTGGACAGGAGAAGGAGAGGTGAAACTGGTTGCTCCCTCCAACCTCTTTTATAAGAATGCTACTCCATTCCCAAAGGAATGATTTAACCCTTCTCCCAGCTAGCAGGGTTCATTTATTTTATTTTATTAAATTTTTTAAAAAGATGTATTCATTTTTATTCATTTTTATTTGAGAGAAAGAATGACAGCTCTTCCATCTGCTGGTTCACTCTCCAAAAAGCTGAACTGATCCAAAGCCAGGAGCTTCTTCTGGGTTCCCCATGTGGGTACAGGGTCCCAAGGATTTCGCCACTTTCCAGGCCATAAGCAGGGAACCGGATCAGAAGTGGAACAGCTGAGACATGAATTGGTACCCATCTGGGATGCCGGCACCTGAGGTTAGAGGATTAGCTTGTTCAGCCACAGCACCAGCCCCAGGCCTCACCTGTTAATATTCCCACCTTGGACATTACTTTCCAACATACATTCAAATCATAGCACCTTGTTTTCCTTCCCCTGAACCCTGACAATCTTCATGCTGCTCTCTGTGTCTTGGAATCTGACTACTGTAGGCATGTCACAAATAAGAGGAATCATCCAGTATTTGATGAGCTCTAACTGGCTTATTTTGCTTAGAATAATGCCTATCAATGGTGTAGCATGTTTACGACTGAATAAGAACAGCCCTTTGTATGTATAAACCTCATTTTATAAATCTCGTATCCATTAACTCATTCAACATTGGGCACCTGGATGCTTCTCCATTTTTGTGATTGAGAATAATACTGCTGTGAACATGGGTGGCCAGGCAGCTCTTTGAAACCCTGATTTCCATTCTTTTGAGTTATATACTCAGAAGTAGAAATTTTAAATCATGTCTGGTGATTCTATTTTTAGGTTTTTAGAGGAAACTCCATATGATGTCCCATAGCAACAGCACCATTTTACGCTCCTACCAACAGTGTGCAGTTGTCTCGCATCCTTACCCACTTCTGTTATTTTCTTTATTTTGGGTTATAACCACATCAGTACATACAAGGTGGTATGGTTTTGATTTAGCTTTTCCAGTTATTAGTGATGTTGAGCATCATTTCATATGTTGCTTGAGATAAACATTTCTGAAATTTTTATTTTTAAAAATTGAGATTAATACAAAAAACTCACAATGAACAAAATATTGGAATTTTGAGTGAAGGCAGGATCCATCAGTGCTATTTGAGATCATATTAGACCTGATCCAAGGAGAAAAAAATCTATAGCTCTCTATACAAAGGGACTTCAGAAAGTTCATGGAAAATGGAATTAAAAAATATGTCTTAGTGCTAAAAAGTTTTTAAGTTCATGTGCATGCAAGACCTTCAAAAATTTCCTATAACTGCATGATACAAAAGACAATGCAGTATTTTTTCTAGGTTGTTGAAACTATTTTTAGAAGGTTGAAACAGGCATATATATAACCCACAGTTATCTGTGGAGGACATTCTTATCACTGTATTTTTTAATTTGTCAAATGTAATTCAAAGCTGTAACTGACAGCTCTATACTGGAAATGAGACAAAAAACTAGTAGATTTTTGAATATTTTTAACTTGATGAATCTGCTTTCATCAAAATTAGAAAAAATAAAATTAGCATCAACTGGTATGAACAAAATAAATGTAAAATACTATACATTTTAATATTTCTACTTGAAGTGTTTTAGTGTGCTTTTTAATTAGCTTAATATTCTAGAAAATGATTATCCATT